AAGAGAAAGAAAGAGAGGGGAAGGGGGGCTATCCTCTCCTCCCTTCCTTCACCCTCCTTCCTTCCCTCCTCCCCTCCTCCTCCTCCTCACCCTCCTCCTCCTTTCTTCCTATCCTCCCCTCCCTCCCTACCCACCTTCCCACCTCAGAATATCGGAGAAATCTCGAAAGGACCTGGCCGAGTCCTCCGAATTAACCCGAGGAGCATCTCAGGGTAGGTCAACCCCGGGGTGGGGAAGAGTGAGGGGGGGGGGAGGTCAACCCGGGGTGGGGAAGAGTGAGGGGGGGGGAGTGGAGGTCAACCCGGGATGGGGAAGAGTGAGGGGGGGTTGGAGGTCAGCCGGGGAAGAGTGTGGGGGGGGGGAGAGGTGGCACTCGTCCTTGGGTGTTGAGGTCGAGATGGCACTTGAATTCACTCGGGGGAGGGGGGGGTGTTAAGGGATGTCACATGGGATGGGATGAGGAAGAGGGGGAGGGAGTGGTGGGGGGTTGAGAGGAGGGGGGGAAGTCACTTGAAAATCTCGATATAGGCTTGTGAATTAGGTGTGTTAGGTGCATTAAGCTTCTGTGTTAGGGTTGGCTTGTGTGTTAGGTTAGGCTCGTGTGTTACGTTGTGTTAGATGTGATAGGCTTGTGTTAGGCTTATGTGTAACACAGGAATGGCAGCGAGTGTCCTTTAAAAATCCCAACTTTTTAAAGGTTTGTGTTGAGTTATTTAAAGTTGTATTAGACGTGTGTTATATGTGTTAGGCCGAGGAATGACTGACTGTGCGTGGGAACGAGAGCGCCTGTGGTATGACGGAGAGTGGATTCTGAGAGAGCGACGAAATGCAAGACAAACTATTGAACCGAAAAATGAAGTTGAGGGAGATGGAGAAGGAGAGAGAGGAAGGTGGAGAGGGAGAGAGAGAGGGGGGGAGAAAGGGGAAGAGGAGAGAGAGAGAGAGGAGAGGGAGGGAGAGGGAAGAAGAGAGGGAGGTGGGGGGGGAGAGAGGGAGAGGGAAAGAGAGAGAGAGAAAGAGAAAAGAAAGAGAAAAAGAGAAAAAGAGAGAACGAGAGAGAGAGAGAAAGAAAGAGAAAATAGAAAAAGAGAGAAAGAGAGAGAGAGGGTGGAACAAAAACAACTTCAGCAACAATAACCCTCAAAGCCTCATGCAATTAAACTTTTTTTATCGGTTCATTGCCAAGTATTTACGTATTGATCCTTGCATAACGGCACTCGGACTGCAATGGGGCTCCGGGGCTGGTGTTTTTTGAAACTTTTTTTTTTTTTACTTTTTCATGTTTGGTCGAGCAGGTGGGTGGTAGAGAGAAGGAGAAAAGGAAGGAGAGGAAGAAGAAGAAGAAGGAGAAGAAGAGGAAGAAGGAGGAAGGGGGAAAGGAGAAGAGGAAGAAGGAGGAGGAGGGGATAAAAGGAGAAGAGGAAGAAGAAGGAGGGGGGAAAGGAGAAGAAGAGGGTGTAGCAACCACGATCCGCAACATTGCAACTCGACAAGTTGCCCAGGTTGGTTGGTTCTCCTTTTTTCCTCTCCTTCTTCTTTCTCCTCTCCTCCTCTTCTTCTTCCTTCTCCTTCTTCTTCTCTCCTTCCATTTCTTCTTGTCTCGTCCTCACTCACTCACCAGCAGGCGCTTCTCGCTACTCACTCCCGAGACCTGACTGGCTCCCCCGGTCACCTCCCGTGTACTTTAGCTGTAGATTCCGGAACGAGATCGAGCAATAAATACTAAATACTCTTATGAAATGAATAAGAGTATTGAAAACACAAAATCACATTTAAAAAATCAGGTTCTTGAGTTCTTTTTAGTTCTTTGAGCTATTTATTTAGTCATAAATAGCTCAAAGATACAGTGGAAGTCCATTCAGACTTGCCTCCTGCCACCGTAACTAAGGCTCAGGCATGAACAAACGGTGCAAAACGACATGCAAAGGGTTTCGCCTACACCCCTTACTTACAAAATTCGCAACTTTACCTTCCTTCCCCTCCCCTATATAAGTTTTTACCTGATTTTTATCAACCTGCAAGAATTACCAGAAGTTCTATGACCCCAATTCAATGACATTTGATGTAAGTCGATCGTCTACAAGTCAGTTTTTTAGATGCTTTTTTCCTGCTATTTGTAGACTTTGGAATAGATTGCCTTCAGAGATTGTAACTTCTCCGACTCTTGATAAGTTTAAAAGATCAGCTAACATGTTTTTCTTACGTAATTAGCTGACTTTCTATTCTTTCATTCTTTCTTAGCTGTATCTTGACCTGCACTGACACCTTTGATGGTGTAAACCTCGATTTCTCAGTGTGGCTCTTTATATAAGCTTACTATAATAACAATAATAATAACCCCTTGTTGCTTCCTCTCCTCTACCTATTTAATTACTTTTATTTTGAGATCGAGCATCGCCTCAGGATCCCCCAGCACCACCACCAGGGAAGCAGCAGCCACCGGGGAGCCTCTCTGACTCCCCCCTGTGGATCTCCAACTCCAGCTCCAACACTCAGCCATACCGGTGGGAACTCACACCCACACAAACAGTCCTCAAAGAGATGCACGACCAGTTTGTTCAAATTGTGCTTGGCCCGACCCACTGAGTATTCATTTCAGGGACATGGTCTATACATAGATAAGAATACATATTATCAGTCTAGACATGCGTATCTACCGGACAGATAGGTAGGTGAATGTATATCTGTGAGATAGATGGACAGATGTGCTTATATTTCTATGGATGTGAATGTCGGTGTATGTGAATATTTCTTGGGTCGGGCCTCGCATGATTTTAACAAACCGGCCGATAGACACGGCGAAGATGAAGAGGAGGAGGAGGAGGAGGAAGAAGCAGAAGAGGAGGAGGAGGAAAAAGACAATGAAGAGGAGAAGATGAAGAGGATGAGAAGAGGAGGAAGAAGAAGCAGAAAAGGAGGAGGAAGAAGAAAGAAGGAGGAGGAGGAGGAGAAGAGATGAAGAGGAGGAGGAAGAAGATGAAGAGGAGGAAGAAGAAGATGAAGAGGAGAAAAAGAAGAGAAATAGTAAGAAGAAAGAAAGAACCCACAGAGAAAGATAAGAAAGATAACGCACGAGATGATTGAGGAAGAAAAAAAAGGAAAAAAGAAAGAGGAAATATAAATGACGCAAGAGAAATGATCTGACATGATGCTGTTGGCCTGTGACGTGACTGTGAGACACGTCTTTTCAGCTGAAACATTTCAAAAGACTTTTTTTTTCCTTGCCGCGGGTGGGTTACGCCAGGCGGGGAAGGGGGAGGGGGGGGGCAGGGATGCAAGATGTGTCGCTGCATAAAATGAGTTTTCTTTAGAAAAGATGATTTGTGGGCTTTTTATATATATAGAAAGTGAGGGTTATCTTTCTCCTCTTTATCTGGGATAAGCCACCTTATTATTGTAATTTACATTCCCTCTCTCTCTCTCTCTCTCTCTCTCTCTCTCTCTCTCTCTCTCTCTTCTCTCTCTTCTCTCTCTCTCTCTCTCTCTCTCTCTCTCTCTCTCTCTCTCTCCCCCTCTCCTCCCTCCCTCCCTCTCTCTCTCTCTCTCTCTCTCTCTCTCTCTCTCTCTCTCTCTCTCTCTCTCTCTCTCTCTCTCTCTCTCTCTCTCTCTCTCTCTCCCTCTCTCTCCCTCTCTCTCCCTCTCTTCCCTCTCTCCTCTCTCCCTCTCTCCCTCTCTCCCTCTCCTCCCTCTCTCTCTCTCTCTCTCTCTCTCTCTCTCTCTCTCTCTCTCTCTCTCTCTCTCTCTCTCTCTCTCCTCTCTCTCTCTCTCTCTCTCTCTCTCTCTCTCTCTCTCTGTCAGAAAGTGAGGATTATCTTGTCTCTTTATCTCTGAAAAGCTTCCTTTTTATTATTATTATTGTTGTTATTATTATTATTATGATTATTACCATCATCATCATTATTATTATTATTATTATTATTATTATTATTATTATTATAATAATAATAATAATAATTATTATTATTATTTATATTATTTATTTATGTGGGTGTTTATTCATATATTTATTTATTGTTAGAAAGTGAGCTCCACTCAGAGGGTCAGGTTAACCTAACCTTTTTATTTCGTCTCCGTGTCATTTTGCGATAATAAAAATAACAATTTGAAAGAAAAAGAGAGAGCGAGTTATCAAGAAGATGAAACGGTACCCGAGTGCAAGGTAATGTGGATGACGTGGCAGCTGTCTTTAAAAAAGAAAAAGAAGAAGAAAGTTTTTTTGTTGCCTTTTCTGAATTTGAGATGCGGCTGAGAGGGAAGGGGCGAGGGAGAGAGGAGATGGCAAGGGAGTTAAGTGTCCTGATGGAGGAGAAGGGGGGAGGGGAAGGAGGGGAGGAGGGAAAGGGAGAGAGAGAGAGGGAGGAGTGAAAGGAGAAGATTGGGGAGGAGTAGGGGAAAGGAGAAGAGGGGAAGGGGAGGAGAGGAGAGGAAAGGAGAAGAGTGGGGAGGATGAGAAAAGGAAAAGGGGAGGAGAGGAAAGGAGAAGAGTGGAAGATGAGAAGAGAGGAAGGGGAGGAGAGGAAAGAAGAGGTGAAGTGAGAAAGAGAGGAAAGGAGAAAGAGGGGAAAGATGAGAAGAGAGGAAGGGGGAGGAGAAGAAAGAAGAAGAGGGGAAGGAGAGAGGAAAGGAGAGAGTGGGGAGGAGGGAGGGGAGGGGAAGAGGCAGGAGAGGAGGAGAAGGGGAAGGGAGAAGAGTGGGGAGGAGAGGAAAGGAGAGGTGGGGGAGGGAGGGAGGGGAAGAGGCAGGAGAGAGGAGAAGGGGAGGAGAAGAGTGGGGAGGAGGAAAGGGGGAGCGAGTGGGAGGAGGAAGGTGGGGGGGGGTATCTTGGCCATCTCAGCAAGACACAAGTATAAGGTATGAGGCTTCTTTTAGCATCAGGGTTGCGTCTTGCATATATTAGGTTAATTATACCATCCGTATCAGCTATTGCTTGTGCGTGCGTGCCTGTGAATAATTAATACCCTTTAAAAGCCGGTATTTCAACCTGATATAAAAGTCTGTATTTAAAGCTGGTTTAAGACATTAATACCCTTTAAAAGCCGGTATTTAAACCTGGTATAAGACTTTGATACCATCTAAAAGTCGTCATTTAAACCTGGTATAAGACACATTAATACTCCTTAAAAAGTCGTAATTAAACCTAGTATAAGACATTAATACTATTAAAAGTAGTGTATTTAAACCTGGTATAATACATTAATACCTTTTAAAAGTCGGTATTTAAACCTGGTATGACATTAATACTATTTAAAAGTAGGTATTTAAACCTGGTATAACACATCAATACCCTTTAAAAGCCGGTATTTAAACCTGGTATAAGACACATCACGTGATTTCACTTCACATACCCAAAGGTCGTTTACTTACCAAACACAAGAAATAGAAAACACAGAAAAAAAAGAAAAAGATTGCAAGGGGGCAGCCTTTTCATGAATATAGATCAGAATCAGAATATTTATTGAGAAATACCCTCCCCTATGAAAAATTTCCATTTATATCCTGTCAGTCACGGAGACCAATCTCCATTTTTGCATCGGTGCTTCGGGTTCGCCCCCTCCTACCCCCACCCCCACCCCCACCCTTTACGCATACCTTGATCATGGGTGCTTAGAAATACGTTATATATATATATATATAATATATATATATATATATATATATATATATATATATATTATATATATATACTATTATATAATATATATATATATATATATATATATATATATATATATATATTATATATATATATATGAATATATATGTATATATGTATGTATATTTATTTATTTATTTATTTTATTTATACAGCTATGCATTATACATATGTGCACACATACACACACACACACTCACACATACATACATATATGTCACGATAATTATCTTTTTCTCTCTCTTTCATCTATTCTCTTTCTTCGCCCTTCGTCCTCTTGTTTTCTCTCAGGAAATTAGGATTATTAAAGGAAACGATTTGCTTGTTGGATCGCCTTGTCTTGGTGTCGATAAGGGCGCTTTTGCATTCCCGTGCGCGCACGCACACACACACACACACACACACACACACACACACACACACACACACACACACACACACACACACACACACACACACACACACACACACACACACACACACACACACACACACACACACACACACACACACAGGGTTTTGTAGTTTTTTGGTACGTAGTTTTTAGTTGTATGTGTTTATTGTTGTTGTTGTTGTCGGCATTGTTATTATTGGTTTTATCATAATTTTCATTATCATGATGATTAATATTATTACTGTAATTATTATTATTGTCGATATTATTGTTTTTATTATTTTCTTGATGTTGTGTTGTTATAATAATGATGATTATTATTGTTATTATTTTTATTACAATGATAGTCTCTTCCATATATTTTTTTCTGTTAGGATATTAAAGAAATAGAGAAATAATGGATAAAAATGGGATGAAATCGTGATATTTTGTAAAAAGCAGTAAACTTATTCAGCGGCCAGTCAGTTTGTTGATATTGATAGCCTCCTTCACATAAATAATTTTTTCTCTGTTAGGATAATTAGAGCAAACATCAACAAAGGAAGCCTTGTGGTGAGTTCGACTGTCTATATCTCTCTTCTGCTTTTTGGTTACTCGTTCATGTTTCTGTTTTTCTGTCTCTCTCGCCTTCGCTCGTTCTCGTTCGTTCTCTCTCTCTCTCTCTCTCTCTCTCTCTCTCTCTCTCTCTCTCTTCTCTCTCTCTCTCTCTCTTCTCTCTCTCTCTCTCTCTCTCTCCTCTCTCTCCCTCCCTCTCCTCTCCCTCTTCCTCTCTCCCTCTCCCTCTCCCTTCTCTCCTCTCCCTCTCCCTCTCTCCCTTCCTCTCTCTCCCTCTGTCCCTTCTCCTCCCCTCTCCCTCTCTCTCTCCCCTCTGTCCCTCTCCCTCCCTTTCCCTCTTCCCTCTCTCTCCTCCTCTTCCCTCTCTCTCTTCTCCTCTCTCTCTCTCTCTCTCTCTCTCTCTCTCTCTCTCTCCTCTCTCTCTCTCTCTCTCTTCTCTCTCTCATCTCTCCCTCTCCTCCCCCCTTCCTCTCTCTTTCCTCTCTCTTCCCTCTTCCCCTTCCTCCTCCCTCCTCTTCCCTCTCCTTCTCCTCCTCCTCCTTCTCTCTTCCTCTCCTCCCTCTCCCTCTCCCCTCTCCCTCTTCCCCCTTCCTCCCTCCCTCCACCGCTCGTTCTCTTTCATTCCGTTTCTCGAAAAATCAATTGACTTCGAAAGTAAAGAGATGCTCCCTTACCCTAACTTACCTTAGGGGTTATATATAAAAAATGCAATGGCGTTGATAGGAAGTTCTTTTTTCTTCTTCGTCGTCTTCTTCTTCTCCTCCTCCTTCTTCTTCTTCTTCTTCTTCTTCTTCTTCTTCTTCTTCTTCTTCTTTCTTCTTCTTTCTTCTCTTCTTCTCCTTCTCTCCTCTCCTTCCTTCTCCTCCTCTCCTTCTTCTTCTTCTTCTCCTCCTCCTCCTTCTTCTCCTTCTTCTTTCCTCTTCTCCTTCTCTCTTTCTTCTCCTTCTTCTCCTCCTTCTTCTCTCCTTCTTCGAAGTTGAGACGAGGAGCATCATCGGTTCGACCCGCTGGTTCGATCTCTGATGAAGCGCTGCGGGCTTTTGGGTTCAGCTTCATTTTTTTCTTTTCTTTTCTTTCTTTCTTTCTTTCTTTCTTTGAGGCGTTGGATGGGAGGAGCCTTTCGGGTTTCGTTTCTTTTCTTTTCTTTTCTTTCCTTTTCTTGTCTTTCTTTCCTTCTCCTCATTTTCTTTTATTCTTCTTCTTTCAGCTTCATCGGGGACTTTGAGGCGTTGGATGGGAGGAGCCTTTCCGGTTTCTTTTTTTCTTCTTTCTTTTCTTTTCTTTCTTCCTTTCTTTCTTTCTTTGAGGCGTTGGATGGGAGGAGCCTTTCGGGTTTCTCTTTTTCTTCTTTCTTTTCTTTCCTTCTTCTTCTTTCTTTCTTTGAGGCGTTGATGGGAGGAGCCTTTTTTTTTTCTTCTTTCTTTTCTTTTCTTTTCTTTTCTTTCTTTCTTTCTTTCTTTGAGGCGTTGGATGGGAGGAGCCTTTTTTTTTTTCTTTCTTTTTTTTTCTTTTCTTTCTTTCTTTCTTCTTTCTTTCTTTGAGGCGTTGGATGGGAGGAGCCTTTGGGTTTCTTTTTTTCTTCTTTCTTCTTTTTCTTTTTTCTTTCTTTTCTTATTTTTTTTTCGTTTCGTTTTTTTTTTTTCTATTCTTTCCTTTTTTCCTTTTTCTTCTTTATCATCTCCCTCTTCTTCTTCTTCTTCTCCTCCTCCTTCTCTCCTTCTTCTCCTTCTCTCCTCCTTCTTCCTCGCGGGGGAGGGAAGGTTCGAAGTGGAGACGAGGAGCGTCATCGGTTCGACCCGCTGGTTCGATCTCTGATGAAGCGCTGCGGGCTTTTGGGTTCAGCTTCATCTTCTTTCTTTTCTTTTCTTTCTTTCTTTCTTTCTTTCTTTGAGGTGTATGGATGGGAGGAGCCTTTCCGGTTTCTTTTTCTTCTTTCTTTTCTTCTTTTTCTTTCCTTCCTTTTCTTTTCTTTTTCCTTCTTTTCCTTTTCTTGTCTTTTCTTTCCTTCTCTCATTTTCTTTTATTCTTCTTCTTTCAGCTTCATCGGGGACTTTGAGGCGTTGGATGGGAGGAGCCTTTCCGGTTTCTTTTTCTTCTTTCTTTTCTTTTCTTTCTTTCTTTCTTTCTTTGAGGTGTATGGATGGGAGGAGCCTTTCCGGTTTCGTTTCTTTTCTTTTCTTTCCTTTCCTTTTCTTGTCTTTCTTTCCTTCTCCTCATTTTCTTTTATTCTTCTTCTTTCAGCTTCATCGGGGACTTTGAGGCGTTGGATGGGAGGAGCCTTTCGGGTTTCTTTTTTTCTTTTCTTCTTTTTTCTTTTTTCTTTCTTTTCTTATTTTCCTTTTTTTCGTTTTTCGTTTTTCTTTTTCTATTTCTTTCTTTTTTTCCTTTTTCTTCTTTATCATCTCCCTCTTCTTCTTCTTCTTCTCCTCCTCCTTCTCTCCTTCTTCTCCTTCTCTCCTCCTTCTTCCTCGCGGGGGAGGGAAGGTTCGAAGTGGAGACGAGGAGCGTCATCGGTTCGACCCGCTGGTTCGATCTCTGATGAAGCGCTGCGGGCTTTTGGGTTCAGCTTCATCTTCTTTCTTTTCTTTTCTTTCTTTCTTTCTTTCTTTGAGGTGTATGGATGGGAGGAGCCTTTTGGTTTCGTTTCTTTTCTTTTCTTTCCTTTCCTTTTCTTGTCTTTCTTTCCTTCTCCTCATTTTCTTTTATTCTTCTTCTTTCAGCTTCATCGGGGACTTTGAGGCGTTGGATGGGAGGAGCCTTTCCGGTTTCTTTTTTTTTTCTTCTTTTTTCTTTTCTTTCTTTTCTTTTTTCTTTTCTTTCTTTTTCTTTTCTATTTTTTCTTTTTTTCCTTTTTCTTCTTTATCATCTCCCTCTTCTTCTTCTTCTTCTCCTCCTCCTTCCTTCCTCCTCCTCTTCTCCTTCTCTCCTCCTTCTTCTCGCGGGGGAGGGAAGGTTCGAAGTGGAGACGAGGAGCGTCATCGGTTCGACCCGCTGGTTCGATCTCTGATGAAGCGCTGCGGGCTTTTGGGTTCAGCTTCATCTTCTTTCTTTTCTTTTCTTTCTTTCTTTCTTTCTTTCTTTGAGGTGTATGGATGGGAGGAGCCTTTCCGGTTCGTTTCTTTTCTTTTCTTTCCTTTCCTTTTCTTGTCTTTCTTTCCTTCTCCTCATTTTCTTTTATTCTTCTTCTTTCAGCTTCATCGGGGACTTTGAGGCGTTGGATGGGAGGAGCCTTTCCGGTTTCTTTTTTCTTTTCTTCTTTCTTTTTTTCTTTTCTTTCTTCTTTTTCTTTGGAGTCGTTTTTTGGGTTTCTTTTTTTCTTCTTTCTTTCTTTTTTTTCTTTTTTCTTTCTTCTTCTTTATTCCTCTTTCTTCCTTCTTCTTCTTCTCTTCTCTCTCCTTCTCCTCCTTCCTCTTCGCGGGGGAGGGAAGGTTCGACGTGGAGACGAGGAGCGTCATCGGTTCGA